GTTGTATACTAAAGCAACTTGATGTGTCTAATGCCTTCTTGCATGGAGAATTGGAGAAGGAAGTTTACATGAATATTCATTTGGGAATCATAGTACCTAATTCTAATGGACAAAAAGTGGCACACAGACTATAGAAGTCATTGTATGGGCTTAACCAAGCCTTAAGGCAATGGTTTGCAAGGCTGACAAGCTTCCTAATGGATAATGATTTTGCTCAATCAATATATGATAATTTTGTCTTTACTAAGTGGGTACATGGAAAAATTGCTATACTTCTTGTGTCTATGGATGGCATAATCATTGGTGGTGATGAACATAAGGATATTGATCCGGTGAAGATAGTCTTAAGTGGGGTTAATTGCAACGGATACCGCATAAGTATTCGTTTCGTTGCATACTAACCACTTAAATTTTTATAGTTGCAACTAAACCACATAAGTCGACTTTTGTTTGCACCGTTATATTTTCTCTCCTTTAAACTTAACGATGGATATCAAATTTAAGTTTTCCACCTTAATGTACACCATGCTATTTTTCTTTCACTTTCTTACTCTAAATAAATATTTCTTTATAAAAATGAAGGATTGATTAAACCCGGTCACAATAGCCCTTTGAAATTCTTCTCTTGCTCTGTGGTTATCTATCCTCTTGTAAAATTATTTATAGAGTTGGAGATGGGGGCTTCAGCTGCGAACTTCGGTTGAAAAACTGAGTTTCACTTGGAAGTTTTTCTTTAGCAGAATACTAGTGAAAAAGTTATGATAAACTTCACCTGAAATTCCCTCATTACTTTACTCTTTTTGTTGCTCGATATTACTGCTTAAGTCACGTTTCTTAATTCTTCTTCACTCATCCAGTTTAAAGCATCCCCGTGTATTTAATCTCCACATACTTCTTTAGTTTTTATCTGATCGTCATCTGAAGTTCAGGTGTGCAGAACTCAGGTAAAGAAAGACTCTTTATGCTGGAAGTTCTTTAATCACAAATATAAATTACAACACTTATACAACAATAACATGTACAAATTCATTTATAATAGATGAATTTAAACAATTTATAAAAGGGCAACCAAAAAGCTTTCCCTCGAAAGAAAAGTCTATACTGAGGTGCCAACTATGTAAAACATATTATAAACAAAAAAATAGAATATAAATTGCATTTCACCTTCCACATAAGTTTAAAAATTTACTTTATGAGAAAGGAAGCCAAAGTTTAATTCAATTAGAACAAAAAAATTAAAAAAAATGAAACAATTGTAAATTTTGACGAACACAGTAAATTAGGGCATAAGATAATTAAAGAGAGCGCTAGTAATACCTAAATGAAGATGGAAGAATGTGAGGGAAAATAGAATTGTGTAAATTGATGCCGAAAATTTCAATGTGTTACTTGCCGCTAAGTTTAAGAATGGAAAATATAATGGTGCAACCGGAAGTTGACTTATGTGGTTTAGTTGCAACTAAAAAAATTTAAGTGATTAGTATGCAACGAAACTAATACTTATGTTGTATCCAGTGCAATTAACCCGTCTTAAGTGAGAGTTCAAATCAACATATCGAGACCATTGAAGTACTTACTATCTCTGGAAGTAACCAGAAATGCACAAGAAATGAGTGCATTTCAAAGGAAGTTGAGCTGCTCAAAGACACTGGATACCTTGAATCAAGGGGATGCAAGTCTCCAATTGATACAAAGTTAAACTGGTTGCAAAATGAACTTTTCTAGAAGATGGAAATTGTTATAGAAGGCTAATTGGGAGACAACACTATCTCACCATAAGTAGACCAAATATAGCATTTCATGTGCAGTGTTATGTCAATATCAAAGAAACCCTTTTCATGAACATTTGAATGTGCTTATAGGGTAGATGTTTGAAAAATTCTCCAAGTCAAGGCATTCTCTTTAATAGCAAAGCAGATTTGAGATTGATTAGTTACCGTGATTCTGGGTGGGCAAGTTGCCCTGATACAAGGAAGATTTATGTTTTGTTATTGCACATCTCTGGGAACATCTTTGCTTACATACAAGACTAAGAAGCAAACAATTGTGTCCAGATCTTCCTCTGAAGCAGAATGTAGAGCTATAACTCGTCTTGCTTGTGAATTCCAGTGGTTAAGGAGATTGCCAGCAGAAATGACAGTCCATGAACCCTTATCAAACCCAATCTACTCTGATAACATATCAACAATACATATCGTAGCGAACCTTGTTTTCCATAAGAACAAAGCATATTGAGATATATATGAATGTTACAAGGGAAATAAATAAGAGTGGTTTGATTAAACTTCAACATGCCAAATATGTGGATCATAAAGTATATATATTCACAAGGGTTTGGATTGTTTTTGTTAAGGGGAACTGTTGAACAATTTGGGATTTGCAAGTGAAGCTTCATCGTCAACTTGAGGGGGAGTGTCACATGGGAAATGATGGATACGTAGTGGTTCCATGGAGCTGTACAAATTACTGGAAGAAGAAAAACCTTGTATTTCAAATGGGCATTTCGTTTCTATTTGTGATACTTGTTTTAAGTTGGACGATGTCGTTTTATGAGGTGTTTGAACCTTGAAAACACAGTTTGGCTAATAACATTCAATATTAGGTTCCGATCTGGACTCTCTTGCTTGATCACTCGGCAGTGGAAGACTTTGTAGAGAGGAGGGGGCGGCCCTCATGATCTATGCTCTAATGTCCAATTTAGTGCGAGGTAAGAATAGTGTATGGGAATGTAGAGTGAACAGGTTTGGAGAAAGTGACCTTGTAGGAAGAGAGAAGAGGGTCCTTTGTTTAGACGGCTTGAGCCTCCTTATATAGGGGTTTGAAGCCTCCTTAAATGTGATTGAGCCCAATACTGAGACACCTTGGGGTGGGCTTGAGCCCGTCGATGATGTAGTAGCTTATCAGATTATGCAAATTAATACATATCTCAACATAAGGGTTTATTAGTTGTCTGCAAAACACTATTTAATTGGCTTAACGACCATAACAACAAAAGACATGTGTAATCATATTATTAAGTTGCTTTGAATTTGAACTAAGGATAAAAGGATCAAATGACTCAACAAAGTTTTCTAAGCTTCCTCCTCAAGAAATCGTGTGTAAATCGTCTTAAACCTCTTATATATCATTCATGATTTTACACGAGGAATATGTACACTTTAGTAAATATACATACATTATTATTATTATATTATAAAAAGGATGGTTTTCAAGTGACTATTTATTAAGCGGTTAATTCGTAATTAACATCAGCTTTAGGGATATAGTTGAGGAATGACACATGGCAAGAAGAAAGGACATTAGCTATGAGTTTTTTTTCAATTTTATTATTGGTTTCTTTTTTCTTCTCCTTTTACCATTTTTTATTATTTTTTCCCTCATTAATCTCTCCCCCTATTCCTTTTATATTATTGTTTTTTGTGCTAAAACCGATAAAAAGGATGGTTTCCAAGTTACTATTCATTAAGCGGTTAATTCGTAACTAACATCAACTTTAGGGATATAGTTTAGGAATCACACATGGCAAGAAGAAATGACATTAGCTATGAGTTTTTTTCAATTTTATTATTGGTTTCTTTTTTCTTCTCCTTTTACCATTTTTATTATTTTCTCCCTCATTAATCTCTCCCCATGTTCCTTTTATATTATTGTTTTTTGTGCTAAAACCGATTAACTTTCGTATTCTTAATCTCACAAAATTCTATTATAATTTCTATTATAAAGAGGATGGTTTCCAAGTTACTATTCATTAAGCGGTTAATTCGTAATTAACATCAACTTTAGGGGTATAATTGAGGGATGACACATGGCAAGAATAAAGGCCATTAGCTATGAGTTTTTTCCCATTTTATTATTGGTTTCTTTTTCTTCTCTTTTTACCATTTTTTTTAATTATTTTCTCCCTCATTAATCTCTCCCCCTATTCCTTTTATATTATTGTTTGTTGTGCTAAAATCGATTAACTTTCGTATTTGTTTTTGTATTCTTAATCTCACGAAATCGATGAAATCGTTCGAGACCGACTTTCGTGTTTGGTTATACATTTTACTCATCTCTCTCACTCGATGTTGAATAGAAAGTTAATGATGAAATCACTCTCTCCCATCGAATGTCAAAAGTCGAAAGTCGAAAGAGGCATCAGAACCAATGAAATAGCTCGAGACCGACTTTCGTATTTGGTTAGAGACCGACTTTGGTTCTTGATTATACAATTTTACTAATCTCTCTAACTCGATGTTGAATAGAAAGTTAACGATGAAATCACTCTCTCAATCGAAAGTCGAAAGAGACATAAGAACCAATGAAATAGCTCAAGACCGACTTTCGTATTTAGTTATGCATTTTTACTCATCTCTCTCGCTTGAGGTCGAATAGAAGGTTAACAATGAAATATCAGACAAGCAAAAAGTACGAAGTGGCATTGGAATCAATGAAATTGCTCGAGATCGAATTCCGTATTTGGTTATGCATTTGTACACATTTCTCCGACTCAAGGTCTAATAAAAAGTTAACATTGAAATTTCTCACTCTCAATAAAAAAGTACAAAAGTGACAACAGGACCAATGAAACGAGATACTAGGTTCTTCCTTCTTTTCGTACTTTTCCTTTTCCTTTGCATTTGTTGAATTTTTTTCATATCACCTATTTCTCTTCTATTTACCATTTTTGTTGAAAATCGAGGGTATATTCTAACTTTATATTTTTGTTTGATGGACTTAATAAACGAATAATTAGTTATCTTTTTGTGGACTTAACAAGAAAATTACAGTAATAAGTCTCAACAATTCAAATCAAGTTCCACAACAAAAAAGAATTTCAAGTATACTTTTATGTTTGTTGTTCTACAATCGGTAGCTATTCATTGGCCAACGAGTCCATTTTTATTATTTGCTTCGATTTATTGCAAAAAGTGTTTGCTCAATTTTTATTCAGCTGCTTAGATGATCCTATTCTCGATGCTTTACCATGATTGATTTTATATTGCTCGCTTGACTCGAGCTTCTCTAGTACGAATAAAACTATACCAACTATAACATGGTTTAGTCAAGTCACCCGTTAATAGCTTAATGCAATACAGTCTAATAATTACAAACATGAACAATGGAAAAAAAAGTCCTAAAACAACATAAAAACCGGGAAATTATTACAAACAGGTCCAGCAGAATTACAAAGAAAATGTCACTATCTGAAATCAAACTCCATCACCATCGGAAACCCCTCTAATGGATTCAGCAGCATCATCGGGAGGGAACACAACATTGTCATAAACAAGCCCCGCAACCGCCGCTCCGATCAACGGCCCGACCCAGTAAACCGCCTGGTTCTTGAACTTCCCGGCAATGACCGCCGACCCAAAAGCACAAGCCGGGTTCATCGACCCGCCGGAGAACGGCCCCACCGCCAACACACCCGCTCCAGCCGTGAGCCCAATCACCAGCGGCCCAATCGCCCCGAACGGCCCACGTCTCGGGTCACTAAAAGCGTAGACCGTGTACACCAACACAAATGTCAAAAGCCCTTCCAGCATCGAAGCCCCAAATCCGGTCATTTCTTCTGCAATCGCGTACGCCGGAACACGCTGTGAAAAACAGAGAAAGGTCTAATTAGGCCAAAAACCTGAAATCGATGGATACCAAAAGGTACTATTGGAAATTGGAATGAAACTGATGGGATTACTTGAGAAACAGTCATGACTCGGAGAATGAGAGAAGCGAAGACGGAGGCCAGCATCTGAGACAGCCAGTAGAAGAGTGCGGTAGGGACGCTGATGTGGCCGCCGACGGCCATTCCAAACGTGACGGCGGGGTTGACGTGTCCTCCGGAAACTCCTGCGGCGATGTAGACGGCGGAGGAGAGGGCGAAGGCATTGGCGATGGCTACTGTTATTAGGCCGGATGTGTCGCCCGCTGCTTCAGGTGTCAGTTTCTCTGGGATTTTTATTTTATTTTTTTATAATACCAGAGATTAGACCATAATCAGAACCCAGTTGAAGAAATCTGGTTTTCAATTGAAAAAGGGAAATAGAGAAGAATGGTTTAGACTCACTGGAAGCCATGGAAGAACCGACGACAGAGAACACGAAGAAGAAAGTGGAGATGAATTCTGCGAGATACGATCGGAGAGCATCTGGCGCGATGGATTGCTGGAATCGGGAGGAGAGGGAGAGATGAGGCATTTTCCTGATCAACATGAGAACGCGAACAACGCTGAATCGTACTACAAAGGCAGTTTCTTTTTCTGATTTTGCAGAGCAGTTAGTTATGGTGATTGCAGGCAGAAAACAGGACACAGTGATGCGTTATGATCACGAGGAAGAGATAAGCACGAGAGTCTTCCATGTATTTATAAACGTTGAAGGAGTTGCGACTGTTGGCTCCAAGAGGCTCTGTAATTTGAAAATGTAACCGCCAAATTTTGCTTTGTGACATAGCCCAGATGGTGGTTTTCCATAATCCATCGGCGGTGCTCTGCTTTTGGGCCGTTAATAGCAGCATGCATTCTTTTCAGAACAGATATAAGCGGGCCCAAGGAGTTGAAGATGAAACTAACGAATCAAACTTTAGTACTGCCTAGCTATATGATAACACTAGCATTGGTTCCGGCCCGTTGGTTGGCAAAGTTTTGTGAAAGATAAAATGACTAATAAGATGTTGTTTGAATAAACACACACCAAAACTATTTACAATCTAACTTGAAAGCAAACCAACATAAGTTGACACTGGATGATTTTGAATAAACCACATAAATTGTAGGAATAAGTTGTTGTTTGAATAAACAAAACTTGGAACTTTAATGGTAAGCAAACCACTAACATCTCATAAATGAAAATCAAACTACTAAATACAATGTTCCTAAGCTGGACCCTATCTACCAATGATCATAGCAGTACTGCTCCATGTTAGAGATAACCACATGGATCCTTTATGCTTCTTCAAAGTACTTCTTCCTCCAAGACCTCGAGGACTTGGATTAGTGTAATAGATTTCCTCAAAGTTCGATTCATCTTGTGGGTTGTTATAATTATATATGGTATACATATCTCCCTTATTTGCTGCAATGACATAGGTTTGTTTTTAGAGAAATAGTAGTTCTGAAACTAAGTAACTCATAGCCAAACGAAATTGATTTATTACCTAAATGCTCACTGTTTTATCACATAAACTACATTAGTAACTTGATACACCACTGCAAGAGAAGGCGTGGTAGTTCCATTTCAACTGGAGAACACACAGAGGAATTGCCGTTCTTAAAGTGTGGCCTTTTGTTTCTTTGCAATTTGAATGAATTTCAAAGGATGGGTTTAAGAAGCAGGATAAGTAACTCTTTATTTTTAAGTAATAAAGCATGAATCAGCCTTGGAATATACATTACCAATCAGACAGACCCACCACAAAGTAACATAAATTTGCAGCATTCGCCAACCACATTTGTTCGTGAATTACACCACGCCATGTGCCTAATCTGCCAATACTCTCAAAAACATCAAATTTGAATTACCTAAATCCTAAACTTGACAAAAATGACCCTCAACAACTATTATTTCAGAAAGTTTAAAGGAAGTTACCTGATCGACTCATGGTGGCCAGGTTTTTTGGGTCCACCGCGGCTACGCTGTGAAGGGCTTGGCTTGCAAAGTCCAAGACAAGGTGTGAGCAGGAGTTATGGGCATGGAATAGTGAGAGAACAAAAGGGGTGGGGAGAGGTAGGGGTGTTCAAATGGTTATCATGATTATAACCAAATCAAATAAGGCTAAATTCCATTAACCATGGAATACAAAATCATAACCAAATCAAATAAGGCTAAATTCCATTAACCATGGAATACAAAATCATAACCAAACCGTCCAAACTAATACAACAACCAAATTAACCAAACTAAAGTTTAATCGGTTTGGTTAATTGGTTAACCAGATTAACCAATATAAAATCACATTATCATTGACGATGAAAATTTTCCAGTTAATGCAACAATTCGTAATTTATATAATGAATAAAACATAAAAATCAACACGTAGTTATAGTTGACCCTTAACAAAAATACATGCAACTAAGACAATTATCTTACGATTAGTATAGAAGTATTCACCTAACAAAAAATTATGACAATGGTATGGGTTAATGAATTGTTGTGTTTGTGTAAATTGACTTAGTCTCTTAGCAATTATCATAGGCTGGAAATGACCTTCCTTTCAAGTTTTCATTCATCATAACGTATGAAATTTATCTAAATTAGGCGTCCATATGTTGTGGTCTAGACTTTACATATACAAATATACACTATATGAGCAATATTGAGTTTTATATTTTATGAGTCTAAAAGGGATGAACATTAACTCTTGAGTGGCTATGCAAAGTACTATGTGTATATAATATATGTTAGATATATGACTAATTACTTAACTGGTTAATTTGGTTTGACTGGTTAGGAGTGTCTAAAACCAAACCAAACCACCTAAACCAAACAAGCTAAAAACTTTAACCAAACCAAACCAATTATCCAAATTAACCAAACCAAATTATCCAAATAGTACCGGTTAAAACGGTTACCACAGTAACCAAACCGTTTGAACACCCCTAGGGAGAGGGATGGTTGCAGTTCAAGCTTCTTTGCTGTCAGTTGCGAGGTGGCCATATTTATTTGATTCTGCGAAGGTGGCGCTGCGGAGGGGTGTTTCAAGGGGCTAAAGGGGGATCAGTTAGCGTGACTACCCCTAAAGGGGTAGTGATTTTTGACACCCCCTTTATGATTGGCCAATTTTATTTCCAATCATTAGCAAGTATTAATTAAACTGATTTTTTATTTTTTTTAATCTTGTAATTTGGGGTCTCTCACCACATTGGAAAAGAGAAAGAATCTGGGGAAAAACGAAATCACCCCCATTAATTACATAATTAATTTCTCTCACTGGTACATTAATTACACGTACCACTCCACTGGTACACGTACCACTCCACTGGTACACGTACCACTCCACTGGTGCGAGCAATCCACAAGGTAGGTTAGAGTGAGAACAATACCAGTGCAATGATATTTTTCATAACAATGATAAACAATAATAGGGAAAAAATAGGAACTTTCCATTAGTAGCCAAAAACTGTGTTCCAAAATGGGTTGCAAAATTAGGGAAATGCCAACAACAATGCCAAAAGCAATAAATTATCCTTCGAATGTGAATAAACATAAAGTCTTCACAATTTTTTAAGCCTAAACAGGACATATGGTTACACGTACCACTCCACTGGTACACGTACCACTCCACTGGTACACGTACCAGTGGAGTGGTACGTGTACCAGTGGAGTGGTACGTGTACCAGTGGAGTGGTACGTGTAATTAATGTACCAGTGAGAGAAATTAATTATGTAATTAATGGGGGTGATTTCGTTTTTCCCCAGATCCTTCCCCATTCATAATTACCAACGTTTTTCTCCTTCCCCATTCATAATTATTATCACAATTAAGGCTTTCCCAATTTACAAGATTACAATAAATAAAGTAAAAAGCTTAAATGGAAAAGTGACCAATCAAGAGGAGGGTGTCAAAAACCACTACCCCTTTAGGGGTTAGCATAGTATCCGACCCCGGGCTAAAGGCATTGCGAAGAGGATTTTCGAAAGCGGGATTGAACTTGGAAAAGGTGCCGCGTAACAGTTGCCAATTGAACCGAACCCCCATTATCCGAGAAGCAAAATTACCAAAATTCACTATGTGAACTTACAGGAACTAGGGATATAGCTCGAATTAGGTTCTCAACCCTGCGCATCGAGAGAGGAGGGTTATCGAGATGGTTTGGGTAAAGGACGACACCGGAGTGAGACTACAGAGTAGAACAGACGTCAAGAGAGACATAGAGGCAGCTAGCAGACGACGCCAAAACAGACGAGGGCGGTTTCCCAGGAGCTTTTGTCGACAAAACACCAATGGCCCAGAGCCCGGAAATGCTGACAGGCGGCACTGGGAGATTGAGAGGTCTTCGATTCTTGTGTTGGGACGGCGAGAGTGGGCGTTCGAGTTTTGGTGGGAGATTGGAATACAAGATGTGTTGGGTAGGGCGAGAGAGAGGCGGTTGATTTTCGGTGGGAGATAGCAACTTGGAAGACAGAACGCGAGGAAGAGAAGGAATATGGAATTACGCTAATGACCCTCCGCAGTGTGCGGCGGTTTCAGCATAGGCTGAGTTGGGCAAACCCTGTATCTTGACATTGCCTTATTGTGTTTTGTAGAAACAGTCCTTACATGGACAGTAACTACATTAGAATAACCCACATGTCAAAGTCTGCAGCTTTTTCTCAAGAACATTGCAGATTGCAGAAAAGTTTGTTTTGAATCAGGCAACAAACAAGTTCCTTACAAGCAAAAACTTGGTTTTGGACCACCATTGAATTCTATTTCCTCGATCCTGAAGGCAATAACCAAAAACCACATTTATACAGTAGAAGTTTGAAACTTTGTAACTGGCATGCTGGAGTGACCTGAAGTTCCCAAAAACCAAACCAGAGACAGATTGCTTTCTGTTTTTCCTCTCCAAGATTACCCTTTTTTTAATAAGAATTACGAAGCACAGCTACAAAACGGACTTCTATGGGTCATTCGTTGATGGTGAGCTTGAGTAGTCGAGGGGGCTTGGGTTTGATCAGCGGCCGGACCTCCATCTTGAACAGAAGAAAACGGATGTTATCCACCGAGAAATACACAAACCCGTCGTTGGGATGGGTTACAAACGACCCGAAACTCTTCCCTGTTATGCAGTGCCACGCCGGCCCGTACGCTCCATCAAACTCCTAATCACCCCACAAAAACAGTCAAATCAAACACTGAAATTATATCTCTGCTTCCAAATTGTCAACACAATGCACTAAAAGTATAGCCAGTCTAAGTCAATGGAGTTTAATTAGACAACAAAAGTCTTCCAGTGCGGTTGTTGGCTAAAAGCAGAAAGAATAGAAAAGATTCGGTGGGGAAAACAGAGGAAGCAACTTAGTTTTAGAAACTTCCTCGTGGACCTTCTCCAAACACACGGCGAGGCGAGTGGGGTTGGGGTTTATCGTGGCAATTAGCATCGAGAAAAGCTCTGGTATCAGGGAAGAACCAGAGTTCTTCGCGGCATTCAACTCAAGTTCAAAAGGAAGAGTTGACCGTTGCCAACGACGTCGTTCCCACGAGTAAACACAGAAGCTGGAGTGATGTCGTTTCTGGCAAAGTTTCAATTAGTCCTGATGTTTGTAATTTGGTTTCTTTCCGTTTTAGTCATGTACTTGCTTAAAGCACAAGCATTGTCTTCTTCCCCAATATGTCTGTACAAGCAAACTAGACAACTATATAAGCTGTAGATCAATGAAACAAACTAAGCTCTTTTCCTCTCCAACCTTAAAAGGTTGATATGGTATCAAAGCCTCAACCCTAGCCACCACCATCCACAAAAATGGTTGCTGCAACACAATCTGCAGCAACAACAAAAGCATCACCCTCTATCCCCACCAATGTCGACCCAATGTCTGACCCCTTCTACCTCCATGGTTCTGAGCAACCAGGTCTCCAGCTCGTTGCAGAAAAGTTCACCTCCATTAACTACAACGACTGGAGCAAAGCCTTCCACAATGCTTTGGGTGCAAAGAACAAACTGGGCTTTGTAGATGGTTCCATTCCAGATCCAGGTCAAGGGAATGCCACAGCTTGGGCATGGACCAGAAACAACATCATGGTCCTCTCCTGGATTCAGCAAGCTGTGGATCCTGGCATTCGAAAGACAATCATGTCCTGCAAAACAGCCGTGGAAGCTTGGAGGAGCCTGCGTGACAGGTATGGCCAAGGTGACATGGTCAAAATTGCTGAAATCATTGAGTCAATCTGCAACCTAAAACAAAGTAACCTGTCTATCACTAAGTACTATGGAAACCTCATAGCTCTAAGGGATGAACTTGACAATTACCAGCCCATAGAACCTTGTATGTGCACTATCAACAACCACAATACTTGTAGGGCTATGCAATTGGTTCTAGGGTACATAGACACAAACTATGTAATCCAATTCTTAAGAAGCCTGAATGACAACTTCACAAGTGTAAGGTCACAAGTTCTGTTTGGTGACACTTTACCAACAATTGATCGTGTGTTTCAAATTTCAACGAATGTTGCAACACGAGAGGCAGCTATCAGGCTCTCAATCATGGAAAACCCCCACATCTAAAGGGATGGCCTTTGTTGTTCAAGGCAATCCTAACTATCTTGGCAGAAAACCATGACCCTACTGCACATTTTGCAAGTTCACAGGGCATACAGAGGACACCTGCTATCATAAGCATGGATGGCCTCCTGGTCTAAGTAATCCTAAGGCTCCAACTACTCAAAACAGACAATAGGAATGCACTCATTGCAAGAAGCAAGGAAACACAGAAGACAAATGCTTCCAAAAGCATGGTTATCCCCAGAGACCTGGCTACAAAGGCAAAGTATATGTTAATGCATCAAGCACAACAACAGACAATGATGAAGTCAGATTAACCAAGGCTTAATATGACACGTTCATCCACATCATGAAGGAAAAGGAAATGGGTAAGGTTCAGCACAGTTCAAGCCCTTCTTTCTCTACTGCTACATGGACCACCCCTAACCCAATCACTTCAAGTAAATGTACCTTAACTGCTTCTAATGATTCCTCTGATCAGCATGCTTGGATACTTGACACAGGTGCTTCAGAACACATTGTGTGTTCTCTGAAGTACCTGGTCCAGCCAAGACAAATCTCCCACATTCCCATAACCTTACCTACTGGAGATCAAGTTGTAGCTACTCATGTTGGCACAGTCAACTGCATTGCCAATCTTCCCCTTCAAAATGTCTTATTTGTTCCCAGATTCGACTTCAATCTCATCTCTGTGAGCAAACTGACCACAAACCCCTCACTCCACTTACCTTTTTTTCTCCACTGTCTGTCTAACACAGGATTTGCAGTTGAAGAGGATGATTGGTTCTGCTAAACTCACCCATGGCCTGTACCTCTTTGATAGCACCCTCATTTCCAACCCCCCACCCCTTTTGCTGCAGCCACTCCACCATATTTTGACTTATGGCACTACAAACTAGTCCATGTTTCCCATTTCAAAGTCCCTCATTTGAGGAAAATCTGTACATCCATAGATACAAATGCATCTATCCCTTGTGATACTTGCCATTTTGCTAGACAGAAAAGACTTCCCTTCCCATGTAGCAACACAGTTTGCACACAAGCTTTTGATCTTATTCATGTAGATCTTTGGGGTCCAAACTATGTCCCTAGTCATGATGGATTCATATACTTTTTAACTATAGTTGATGATTTTACTAGAATGACATGGATTATCCTTCTGCAAGCAAAATCAGAAACCAGAACAAAACTTCAACATTTTTGCAACCATGTTGAAAGACAATTTCAAACCACAGTTAAGAGAATCACGAGTGACCAAGGCAAGGAATTCCAAATGCATGATTTTTTCAACAACACTGGAATAATTCATGAACAATCTTGTGTTAAAATACCCCAGAAAAATAGCAAAGTGGAGAGAAAACATCAACACATCCTAACTGTTGCTAGGGCTCTTAAATTCCAGTCAAATCTACCAACTGATTTTTGGTTTGATTGTGTCAAGCATGCAGTTTACCTTATAAACAGAGTTCATACAATTGTTCTGGGGATCCAAAATCCCTTCCAAAAACTTTTTCACAGACCACCAGACCTTACAGACCTCAAGGTTTTTGGTTCACTATGCTATGCCACTACCCTCACAAATCACGGAACTAAATTTGACCCTAGGTCTAGGAAGTGTGTGTTCATAGGCTATACTCTAGGTACCAAGGGCTACAAACTCTATGACCTGATCAACAACACTGTTTTCACATCCAGAGATGTTCATTTCTATGAAACACACTTCCCATTCAAAACACAAGCCTCACCTCCCTCCACCAATAGCCCATTCCCCACTTCTCTTGACCCAGCCCTGTTTGAAGACTTTAGCCCCCTCTATCAACCAACACCCTCACCATCTTCTACTCCAGAACACCAGTTTCAAGACCTCCAGGTTGAGTCTGATGATGATAATTCACACTCACCATCCTCTTCCTCCCATCCTACTTCACCAGCATTATCACCTTCCCCACCACCACCACTTCCTCCACCACCAGAACAACTAGCACCACCCATTAGGAAATCCACCAGAACCATAAACCCATCCAAACACCTTCAATCCTACCATTGCAACTTGCTTCAGCAGATTCCTTCCTCCAATCATCCTCCAATACAGCAAAATCTAGGTATTACTTACCCCCTTTCCTCTAGGGGTGGGATTCGGTACGCCGGTAAACAGTTTACCGTTTTACCGAACCGTTTACCGGAGGTAAATGGTAAATCATTTACCGGCGGTATCGGCGCCCGAGCGCCCAATTGGGTGGGTCGGTATACCGAATCCGGTATCGGTAAATACCGATGGTAAATCGGTAATACTGATACCGAACCCCAAAACGACGTCGTTTTATTTGGCAAAGATTTCAACCCTAGTTCTAAAAAATACCCGCCCAGCACTGTAGGCTTCCTTATCCTCTTCTCCTCTTCGCAGCAGCGACCAGCCGCCACCCTTCCTTCTTCGTTTCGAAATCGCAGAGGCAGAGAGACCAGCCGCCACCCTTCATTATCCTCTTCTCCTCTTCGCCGGACGCCACTCCTTCTGCTGACGAGTGACGACGACGGCCCTGAATCCCTCACCCTCCCAGTCTCCCTTCCCTCGCCGATGCCGCGACGCGTGACCAGCACCAGCACTTCGCAATCCTCCGCGGCTCCGCCACCTTCCCGCTTCCCCGCCGCCGACCCTCACCCTCGCAGACCTAGTCTCCCTTCCCTCGGCGACTTGGAGGTAAGTTGTTGTGCATTTTGAATTGTTTGTTAGCATTTGTATAGTGATGCTGCTGATGAGCCTCTGCTCCTCCACGCTCTGCTGCAGAGAGCTTCATTCAGAGCTGCCAACAGATCAACAAGTGGGGGAAAGAATCAGCATTCGGGTCTACAGTTTAGAGATCCACGCCCAAATTGGGAATCAATCAGTATAATTGACTATCATTGACCGGTACTAAGAGTTGTATTTGTATTGTGTTTGAATTTTGATATTCAGAAATCAGAATTGAATGTAATTGTTGTGCATTTTGATATTCAGAGTTGGTTAGGGAGCTAGTTGGTTTGGGGCAGAGAACTTGGATTGTGCATTTTTGAGAGCAAAGGGCCGAAGGAGGCAACATACAACAAGCCAACAGCAGTCAGCATTCACTGAATTCTGAATATGTATGTTAGTGAATTGAGCAATAGCAATAGCAATTAGCCAAAATCTATATATGTATGTTAATAAGTTAATTGAATTGCAGTTTTCATTATTTGTATTGAATTGATGAGAATTGATTATTGAGTTTGATTGACCTAAAATTGATGAGTAATTGTTGTTTAGGAGGTTTATGTGTTCATTTTGTTGTTTTTTTAGGACAAAAGCTTCTGCTGGCAGCCGTGGAGGAGGTAGTAAGAAGAAGAAAGCTAGTTCTCTACCTCGTCGAAGCTCTTCAAAAAAAGGGAAGGCTTCAACTAGTAGCACACCTTCCACTACTGCAAATCCACCTGCAACTGCAGCAAATCACCTCCTGAGGCAAATCCTTCTCCATCTACAGAAAATCCTCCTCCATCTGTTGAGGTACCTGGTGTACAGAAGAAAATTGACAAGGGGAAGGGGAAGAAGTCAAAATCTAAGTGGTGGATTCCTTACACCCGTGTGTTGGTTGATGACTACCCATACGGCAAATGCAAAAGGTGTGGGACGCTGATCAAAGCTCATTCAACCTTCAATGGGACTAGTGGTTTGAAGAGCCATCACCTAATGTGCAAGAGGAAGGCAAGCGAAGCTAGTGGTCAGTCTGTATTGAACTATCAACCTGGAGCTGGAAGTGGAGATGGTGAGGTAGGCTCTCTTACTCCATGGAAGTTTGATCAGAACAAATCTAGACATGCATTAGCTATGATGATAATCTTGGATGAGCCGTTTAGATTTGTTGA